TCTTTCTTTCTTACACATGCTCACATGTAGTTCTCAGCATGCACAGAGACCTGCACAATGCTTTTCACCTTTCACAGTTTGTGTGTGCTATAAGTATAGGTTACTAAACAAGTGGAGTCTCAGAAACACATACAGGCAGCAAATCTTACAGAACTATACTGTAGTGGGCGGAAATTTAGTAGCGTATGAATTGTACATGGTTCTGTGTATTTTTGTCTTTCAACCCTATACACAAACCTTTTATAACAAGCTATATATTTGTTTCATGTTATTCTTTGATTTCTAAAGAGCTGATTTGTTAATGATTTTTTCTTTAATTAAAAAAGAACTAAATATTAAGTATGAAAATGCTATTCTCTTAATCAATTTGACTTTCAAATGATAGCGATTGATGCTTAGTAAGTTAAAATGTTCACTAATAAAATGCAGAAATACAATAAAAACTATTTAATACACAGTTAAAAAATGTGTATTAATCACGTTTTCCATTTCAGGAGGAATAATAGGAGGAATATTTTTTGTTTATATTTATACCTTAGTTTTGTGTCTACTGTTTTCTTCTTAATTTCTTAATGACCAGAGCTTTAATTATTAAGATATTCATAATTTTTATATGTATGATGCGAACAAAATCATCAATATATTCCAAATATTCAATATATCGCTCAGCCTTCATGCCACCATTGTGCTTAAAATGTTATTCGATTCCATCTATAATGACAGAGAGACTGAAATAGACAAGTACAGAAAGAAAGGGATCCCACCAGAAAAAGGTGACCCACTGAGGCACCTCTCTTCACAGACTCCATTTACTATTATGACCTGTCCATGTTTATAGCCCTGCTCAAGATGGCTCTGCGATTGCCTTATCCTATAATAGGTGGGCTCTCTTATCTCAAACGAGTACTCAGAACCACATAAACCACAGCCGGTCAATCACAGCACCTCCCCTAACAACACGCTGTAGACCTCTGATCGGGTATCACGGATTTATTTCTTCCAGCTGCTTACACTATTGAATTTTACAATAAACTTAACAAGTATTAGACCAGCAAAGAGTGCCTAGAATCTTATAAATGACTAACGCTTCAAAAAGCTGTTCAAGTCTTAATCACCTTGCATTAGTTTGTTACCACAAAGTAAGCAAATAAAGTGCGTAGCTCGTAGTGTTTAAATAGCTGTTTAGACCTTGCTGAAGTAGATTGAATGACAATTTCCCATCTGCTCCATTGCTTTTTAAAATTGCATTGGTAATTCGGCAGTTTTCAGGAAGCTGAAAGTGTCAAGCATGTTTAGACTGCGGTCTTAGTTCTCTGAAGTCTTAGAGGAAATGGTTTGTGAAAATTGTAGGAGCTGCAGTTGTGTCCCGTGCAGACTGCCCAATCTGTGGAACGCTGGCAGCGGACACAAAGAGGTCACCTACCGCTAACCATCACAGATCAGCAGTCCGTCAGTAATCAGTGTGGTCTCTCGAGCATGGGACCTTGGGAATGTCATGGCTTTGCCTGCTTGTGCAGTAAACTCTCTCACACACACACACACACACACAAACACACCTCTTGCTTTGTTTCTACACACTAATACACACTCAATTCCTGGAAGTCCCAGGGAAATAGAAAAAAAATAACATTTGCACAGCGACAGGCCTGATGTTTATAAATGACTCATGATGATTGTTGTATGTCAGAGTGTGTGCGCTTATTGTTTGCGCAGCCTTGTGCGTGATTTATGATTTTTGTATGGTTCACAAATCATGGAAGTGTACATGCAGTCTATGATTATGTATGTGTGCCTTGTGTGAGTATCTGCATAATGAAGTATTTGCTGCTTGTAATACATACCATCTTTTAATCAGCACAACCCATGAGTGGCTGCTTAAAGCTGCCTGCCTGCATTGGCAGTCCTACAGGAGAATTAGTAAAACTAACACTTGAGCTTGCACGTTTGGGCGACCCCCCCCCAGTTTATACATCAGCTCTCTTCCACCCTTTAAGTCAGCAACATCTGCCAATACTTCAAGCAATGATTTTTGCTTCTGTGGATAATTTTAAGCATATTACAGTGAGCCAATATATTCACTGAAAGCCATTGCCTTGGTATTTCTGTGCATCTAGAGGCATCAGATGGAACTGCAAAAAAAAAATTTTTCACTAAATTATGTATTATTTTTATAAGAAAAATTAAGAAAAATATAAGAAATAGTTAATATAATAAAGTAAAATATATAATAATAATAATAATTAATATATGTGTTAGAGCTGTTAATGTGTAAATACTTGCGATACTGATGTGATTAATCCTCATATGTAAAAAAAAATAAAATAAAAATTTAACTAGTAATTTTCGGCATCAGATGGAACTGCAAAAAAAAAATTTTTCACTAAATTATGTATTATTTTTATAAGAAAAATTAAGAAAAATATAAGAAATAGTTAATATAATAAAGTAAAATATATAATAATAATAATTAATATATGTGTTAGGGCTGTTAATGTGTAAATACTTGCGATACTGATGTGATTAATCCTCATATGTAAAAAATAAAATAAAATAAAAATTTAACTAGTAATTTTCTTAATTGTGAAAATTGATGTGCAAAATAAACTTATTGGGGAAAAATTAACTGACAGCTGTCATTCAAACAGAGAGACCTGATACTGAAAGAGACAGAAACTTCTCTATATTACAATATATACTATATACAACACCCTATATTAAAGGCTTGTAAATGTGATATTATAATCGATTTATATAAAGATTGTTTTTAGTTCATTTCAATTAAAAGTTATAATACTTTTAATGTTCTATAACGTTTAAAGCGTATTATATGTTAAAAATTATGGCACAAAATTGAATGTAGAGTTGAATGAGTACGATTACTCATTTTATCCCAGACATGGATAAAAATCCATCAGTAAGAGACATCAGTTACATTACTGGTATCTGTGATACTGTACTTGGCATTAAACAATTTAAAATACACTGTCTTTATGTTGTTTCTTCATAAATCTACAGGAGATTCAGTATGAAGATATATTTATGACAAAAATATATTTATTTACAAATTTTAAAGTTAGTTGCAATTAATCACAAATAATTAGATTTGTTTTTCAGTTCAAATTATGGCAATATACAAGCACTATATAATGTGTGTTTTTTTATATTTTGTGGAATCAACCTACGAACGGCATACTTTAGCATTACACACTTCACCTTGAAGAAAATTAATATTATGTTCAGCTTGAAAGGAATGAAGGGTGTGACAAGGTCAAGCTTTGTCCTTGAGATAAGGCTAGTGAAGGATCTTTGGTAATTAAGCGCTGCTCAGAGCTCACTAACCACCTCTCTTTGTAGTCTTTGGAGGTGCTCAACCCATAACATACTGCCTCTGGTTCCAGAGGAAGATAAGGGGCAGGGGAACATGGCCCCTATGATGTGCGAGTTGCTAAATCTCTGGGCTTGTTTCAGTGTAAGGTAGCTTGGCTGGGGAGATAGGGAAGACTTAGATGAAATCCTCTTGTTCTGATGGGAGGCAAGGGCCTGGGATTTGCTCACCGTTCCAGAGAAGAATTTCGAGAGTATCTCCTTCGGTCTGGTCTGTTGCAACTCACTGATGGTTTGACAATTTTCCGCTGTCTTTTGGTTAGGTTTCATGATTTTCACCTCTTATCTGTTTGACTTTTTTTAAAGGGTCCCTATATTTTATATCAGTGTTTATGTGTGTGTGTGTGTGTGTGTGTGTGTGTTTTAAGTTTAGATTTTCATCTAATATTTATGTTAATTCAATTAAAGAAATTAACTGTTTTATACTAGATTTTGATGGGAGAGTGTACTTAACATTTGAAAAGTCATTGTACTTCATTGTTGTCAATGTGCATAATTAAATTGTTAATGCACTTTCTTGGCCCTATTTTGCATAATTGACTTGGTGTGAATTTTCCTGCTACAGCAATTTTCTGATTCAACACAAAGTCAAAATAGTCATAGACAAGTCATAGACATTTTCCACATTTTTATCAGGATATAATAGCTTGTTTAGCCTCTAAAACAACTTATCTCTTTCTTACATCTGATGACACAAATACCTTCTGTCATCAAGTCATAATTTTGTTTTGTTTTTTGGTTGTCTGTTCTGGATGTTGTCCTATTCTTCCCTAGAATTACATAAGATTATGGAAATAACATAGGTTTGGAATGTTTCAGGTTACCTTTAAAATAAAATAAAGTATGTTGTTTCAGATGATTGATTTACTATAAGCATTTCGATTGGAGGAAAAGAAAGCAGAACTAATATTTGGCATTCGAGAATAGCACACCCGCCCAGACCAGGCACTGCATGTGTTCAACTGATGCACATGATAAAAGTCGAACGTGTGAACAGTGTTAAATCACTGTGTCCTCTCTGACTGATAAAGCTCTTATTGGTCTCCCTCCCAGAGAGCTGACAACATCATCAACCGCTCTCCGTTCAGGCTCTTTCAAAGCAGTCTTTATCCACACACAAACACAAACAAAAGTAAGGGTTCATAAATTCACAGTGATGCGTACCTGGGCCTTTGTAATTGCTCCTGCTGGAGCTGTGTGTTCAATTCATTCAAACTCTCTTCCCAATTAAACTGTAAACGCAACAAGAAGAAACGACAGAGATGCACGGTGCACTCAGCCTCATATTGCTTGCCGTTTGTTGTTTAAATCTGAAGCATGAGGCTTTTTCTGCTCAAGTTTTTCTTTATTTCTGCACTAGAACAGTTGTTATCAAGTGCAAGTCTACTATTGTTTCTCAAGTGATCTAAATTTGTCATGGCATCTCCTGCAGACTAGAGTTAGCTGTGCGGTTTGTTTCACTGTTGTTGGAAAAAAGTAATTCCACCTTCTACTTGAGCTACACATGTGAAAAAGCAAGTACATTCGAACTGACCATTGACCTCAAATAGACCTCTTGTATGAACAGCATTAATGCATATGCTTTTATACTTAGCTTTCTCTCTCTTCTTCAACAGTAAAAAAGACATGTGCCACAACAGACTTTGCATGTAAGAATGGGCAGTGTGTCCCGGCCCGATGGAGGTGTGATGGAGAACCTGAGTGTCCAGATGGTTCGGATGAAGCAGACTCCACCTGCAGTGAGTAACCCGAGTGGATGAGTGTGTGTGCCTGTTTTATTCTGTTGACTGATTCTGATCATTTTTGTCCAAATAAAAGCATGTAAAACTTTAGTCAAATTTAATTTGAGGGAGCATCGCCATATCTTGAATATGATTTCAGTGCCATAGGAAAAAATTTATTTTATTTTGTTATTTTTATTTTATTTTATTCAATTTAATTGTCAAAGTTACACTACCATAACTTCGGGGTCAGGTTTTTTTCCTTCCCAGTTTTGTTTAGCAAGGGTGCATTAAATTGATCAAAATTGGCAGTAAGGAGATTTCTAACCTTCCAAAACATTTCAATAAATGCCATTCTTTTGAACCTTCTATTCATCAACAAATCTTAAAAAATTATATATTTTATATAAAAAAAGCTTGTTAAGAAAACAGCACTGCTGTTTTCAACATTGATAATAGAAAGCACCAAATCAGCATATTAGAATTATTTCTGAATAATAATGTGTACTAATGGCTTCTGAAAATTATAATGAATTAAATTACATTTTAAAATATATTAAAATAAAAAACTTTTAAATTGTAATAATATTTCACAATATTACTGTTTTTAACTGCCTGTTTGATCAAATAAACAGCCTTGGTGAGCATATGAAACTTCTTTCAAAAACTTACAAAAAATATTGCCTGAAACATTTGAACGGTCGTGTAAATATAAATATTAACTAATTAAATTACAGCAGTGTTATGTAGCCTTGAAGTATTTCTTAATTTATCAAGCATTGCATCAAGGTTTTCCAAGTATTTAATCAAGTAAACAGTCAGTAATTAAAAACAAATAACTAAATTAAGAGCTGCAAGTTTCTTTCGATTCTTGTTAATATTGTTGATTGATTAATTTCAGCAACATAATAGACAGCAGAGGGTCTATCAGGGCGCATTTGTACTGCAAGGCCCAGTGAACAGATCTGATATTTTGACACTTTGTTTCAAATGAGTGTGTTATCTTGATAAAAAAGCAGGAAAATTCATATTTATAGCAGTTAAAATATGTTTTTGGCAGATAATGTTTCTGCATCCATTATTGCTCATTTATTTCAAATTGAATTATTGTAATAACACCATTTGGAATTCACCCTATAGGTTTCCACTTTCAAAGGCTGTGTAAATACTGCATATCCATATATTTAGACTGTCTTCTGTGCTGTAGTAAACCTATTTGTCATGCACATAAACTGAGATAATGTTAGTGGAGTTTTGACTTTTATTTGCATGCATCCAGTTCTTTTTAGTTTGTTTTTCTACGAAGGATTGCCTGTGGCTGTTTGGCAGTCTCAGTAATTGTTATTTTAAGCTGTGGACTGAGCCTTTCTCACTGGCCATGTGATGTGATTTTGCCGTTGGCTGAATTAGGCTCCAGCTGCTAATTGGCAGCAGTAATGCTCATGCCCCCTGGCATACCTCACTCTCTTGTGTACTAGTAATTGATATGGTCCTCTCAGATCACGTGCAAATCACATTTTTACACATATTCCTTGTGCTCTGATTCGGTTGTAACTTCATTTCAGAGTCAGGAGCAGTTTCTGTCTCGCTTTCCTTTACTACTTGACATCCGAAAGAAAGTGGAGCTTCCAGTTCAGTGATCGTAAAATCAGATCGAAAACATGATCAACTACGATTTGGCTGTGTTTTTTCTCTGGCTACAGCATCCTGGCCAGGAAGGAATGAAGGAGGTCTAGGTTATGTTTGGAGATATATACTACCATGCTATATTGTGTGCTTATTTGGAACATTATGCACATTTTCTGTATGCATAGAATCTGATTGACTTTACATTGCCTATATGTTCAATATTCGATGTCTTTCTTTCTTTCTTTCTTTGCCAAAACTTGACTTTTTTCACACAAAATGGAATTAAAAATAGTAAATAACAGTTTCTATTTCAATGATGGTTAAGTATGCACAATACAGTAAATAACAAATTGGTTATTGGCTGACATAGATTTTTAAAAGATGTTTTGGTATTGATGGTAATTGGATATTTCAATGTTCATGCTAATTCCCCCCAATTTTTACATTTGTATAACCTTTGCCATCATCTTACGTTCACTTAAAGTTATCTTAAAATTGCTGTAAATTTATCACCACTGTTGAATGAAAAATATATATCAATATTTCAGTCTACCTTATAATGTGATGCCTAAATTCACTTACATCATTTAAAATAATTGATTTTAGATTTTAATATTTGAAGAGTTTATTTGCAAAAACAGATTAAGTTTTTAATTATTAGTTATTAATTATTAATTATTAGATTATTAGTTTTTATTAATTTTCATAAATCATGTTTTTATTGTTTAGTTAGCTGTATTTTTAGTTAGTTATTATTAGTTATTCAAAACAACCAAACTGCAGTTTGATTTATATTAATTGGAATGCAGGATTAAAAATAAACATGATTTTTGAACAGTTTTAAAAATGTCTGTTTTTGCAAATGAACTCTTCATTTGTATTTGTATGTTGTTGTTTTTTTCATTTATGTAATATTTTTACTTGTATAATTGTTGAATTTTAATATCAGACATTTATTTTTTATTTATATTTTGGGGATAAATGTCTGATATTAATTATTTAAATTGCAAAAGTAGAATACTACAATTATTTTTTTGCATTTTCCAATCTTCATTATTAAGTTGCATCCTTCATGCTGCCTCTCTCCTTCAGCATGTTCTTATTTTGCATCTTAGTTCTCATCTTTAAAAATGAAATGGAATGGTAATGACAACTGTGCCATAAACGGATGCAGGTTGTGCTAGTTTCAAAGCTCCCACCCACAGAGACCGTCAGCATATGATGGACAGGTGTGAAATTCTGTGTGTTGCAGCCATTTGTCTCAAGTACGATGTGGATTCCGCCACCGAATTGCAGAAACTTTAGCTTGATTTGCTTGTTAATGTCTATCCAAATCAGCCCACATACATGTCTAAATTCTGATCAAATGCATTGAGGTAAAGGCGCTCATATAGCTTGGAGACATACAGTACACACACACACACACACACACACATACATATATGGTATTCCCACTAGTCCAAGCCAAGGTCAAAGCTAGTAACGGTATCCAGACACATTCTCCCAATATCCCTTTACCTGTGTTCGATTGCTTTTCAAAATTGCTTTCAGTTTTGCTCTGATAGAAGGAGAAACTATGTAGAGGCCTTTGAACAAAGTCACACGGAGTCACATGGATCATAGTTCTTCATGGCTTGTTCACACAAACACCTCTTTGTGTCTCAAATAGTCCCCAAACATTAGCCTCCCTCTGGTAATGCAGAATATAAGTACTGGCATGCCATTACAGCAGACTATCATGTTGTGCTCAACCTGGTAAAATTAAGTGAGTAATATTGAAAAATGGACCGGGCCCTGTGGTTTCTCAGTATGGGATATCTTGATCAATGGGAACAGCGGGGCAGTCATTATGGTTGCATTAAAAAGTAATAAACAGGAGCGTGCGGACATGACTCAGGTGCTGCCTTGTACAAAACCAAATCTGGGATCATATGCTGGCATGATTATGAAAGATGAGGTGGGTACCTTGCTGTGATTGGGTGGCAATTAATCAGCTTGATGAAGTGCGTGCTTGTGTGTATTTGAAAGGCACATTTACAGTGCTGTGTGTGAAAATTAGGGTTGGATGAAGGGTCATTTCTTGACCCCTCCAGCTGTTGCAGGATGGATTTGCATATACAGTACTGGTCTCTGGTCAAACTGTTTGCCGTTTATTGTTAAACCTTTATGTCTTCATACAGACCTGGACAAGAAATATTATGGTGAATTATGATAGACTGTGAGGAGCTTAATTAGTGGTGCTTGCTAATGCAACGAGTTTAAATGTTTTACTTTTTTTTTTTATCTTTGTAAATGCTACAAGTCCGTTTACTGTAGGAATCACAACATTATAATTGTGGAGATAAAAATGATATTAATTTGAGATTATATTATAGATTACGTTTACTTGTGATTGTTAAATGACAGAAAAGGTGATCCAGCTGAACTGATCCAATGAAAATTCACAATTATGCTACTGTTCAAAAATTTGGGGTTGGTAAGATTTATTTAAATGTTTTCGAAAGAACCCCAAATTACCCCAGATTTGTGAAGGGTAGTGTGAAATATCTGTTTTGTTTTGTTTTGTTTTTTGTGTTTTGTTTTGTTTTAAGCAACCACCTAACAATGCCCTTTTAACCACCCTTTGCAACCATATAACAACATGTTAATTCATAATTCATATTTCAGTGAGAAAATATAAAAATGTAGTTGATTTCTTGCTATGCTTTAAAACGGTTGGACATTCAAACAAGTTACACTTCTGCACAACTCAGCAACTGAGTGCTGCACATTCAGTGTCGATTAAATCAGGCTGCCTTAGGCTTTGACATTGGACTGTAATTGGCTTCCAGGTGAGCAAATAAAAATATATCTTTAAACCTTTTTCCAAGAAACGCACAAGTATAGAAAACATTCAACATGCTTGCAAGACCTTTGCTTCTGAAAACAATCTCCTCAATCAATGTGTGGCAATGTTTCTCTTTAGTTACACTCAAAAATGTAATCTTCTGTTTCTGTGTATTTTATATAACCTCTCCTCCAACATTCTCACATTCTGCTTTAGATATTTTTTTAATTAACTTCCGTCCTTAATGTTGCTTTCTGAAATGTCCATCTCCAACAAGATTGATCTCATGTTAACAAGATCATGAATCTGATTGGATTCATTATTCCTTAGAAATTGGTTGGTGTTTTTTTTTTTCTCCAAATACTGCTGGATTTAAACTAAGGAAAATGAGGTAGACATTGCATTAGATGCTTTTGTAATCAATAAATTGAGACAGAAATACATTAAGTGCAAGTAAGAGAAACTACAAAAGTACAAGATACCTAAATGCACATAATGTATCTCTTGCTTCGGCATAATTTATTTCCACAAATTTGCTTTTTAAAATCTTAAACATGGTTAT